AACACACCAAAATGCAATCCAACACATGTCGATGCAGGGCATATGAGAAAGTAACCCCCTCCACCCACCCCTAAAAAACCCAAAACTAGACCTTTATTGAATGCCTAAACCATGGAAATCCAAGCAAATTTCACCTTCATCAAGAAATGAATTAGGCTACCAGAACTGTACTCCTTTTCTCCTGTAAGGATATGACGCCTAGGTCTAACTCAGCCCCAAAATTTAGCTCATTAATAGGGAGAATTACCCAAATCCATATAACCGCACTATACTCTAACACCCCCTTCGCGCTCAGGCCCAACTGGAGAGTGGATCAAAAGCCCAACCTGACTCTGATACCATGTAAAGATGCCTAAGTCAACTTCAAAAGTTAGCTCATGAGGAAAGGATTATCCAAATCCATATTAGCCGACCGTCCGTCTATTGTGGGGCTTTAACCCACCTAACATTTTCCAACTTGCATGACAATTTTTAATTTTGTGATATTTGAAAATGACTGTTATCATCTCAATATAACTGTCACAATCAACAAATTATTCAAATCCATTTATCTATTCATGATAATCAGGTTTTAATGTGATGTTTTATATATATATATCAAATCACCTTTTACACCATTATCTTATTCCTAACATAACATAACATAACAAAACAACGCAATTACTTTCTTAAACTCCATATTAAATCACACAATAACATAATAGAAATCACCCTAGGGTTCCAAAAGTTACCTAGCAGCATGAGAATGCTTAATCTTATAATAACCAGCATGATGCCCCAAATCTTCAAATGAAACACTAGAATTCGCCAAATTAGGGAATGAGAATCGCTTCTCAACGATTCTAGAACCTTCATCGTCGGTCTGAAACGGATCCCGATCGACAATGTTATCTGATTCCTTAGGAAACAAATTGAGCTCCCGAATCAATTTCTCCGCTTGCTTCGATGCGAACCTCGAAGGAAATACTGAAATCTTCGCGAATGAAAATGAAGGAAAAACAACAAGGAGAAGAAGAAGAAGATGATGAGGAAGCTTCATTTGCGCCATGCTTGGGGTTTGAAGGGAAAGTGTTTTGTGTGAGAGAGATAAATATTTGTGAATTTGCGTGCGAGAGAAGAGAGTGAGCTAACGGTCCACGTAGAGTGCACACTTTCCAAGAAACTGCTACACACTCTATTTTAGACAAAATTACAAAAAAAGGGCTGTTATTTTCGAAGGTGTACGTCAATTTTATTTGGTTATTTTTGGAAAACTCTCGCGATTTAAGTGCATTAAATTCAAGTAAAAGAAGAAAAATATACTGAAGGAATATAAGACAATATTTTATCTTAATACGCGACCTCGAGTCTTTTCTATCTAGAGTCATGCTCTTATGATATGAAACTGCGTAATCAGCTCTCCTTAATATTTTTTCATTCTACCTCTATCCCTCCATGTACCCTCAACAGCTAGTCTCTCGCACCTCTTTCACTGGAATGCATGCCTAGACTGTCTTAGTCTTGCTTCCCTCATCTTGGCTCCCACAGAGATTACTCTCACCTTCTCCCAGATAGCCGCATTTTAATTTTGTCCCTCCTAGTATGTCCGACTTACACATACATCTCAACATCCTTATCTCCGCAACATGTATCTTTTGAACATATGAGTTTTTGACTGACCAACACTCTACCTCATACAACAAGGATAATCCCGTCTAACCATCACCATATAAAACTTACCTTAAATTTAAATGGTATCTTTTATCACATAAGATCTAAAGACAAGACTCCATTTTATCCAAGTCACCCCAAAGCGATGTATGACATCATTAACGATGTCTCATTTTAAATTCTATAAACTAAAAATTTAATAGAAAAAAAGAAGAAAATAACAACCAAAATTTGAAATGAAAATGCAAAATAAATTGTCATCCGGACAACTCAACCAAATGACAAGTGCATATATACAATTTCTCTTAGTAGTCTTCAATTTATTAGTTGTTTAAAATTAATATTTTGGAATTTAGCACATAATTAACAAAATGGACCAATTAACAACTATTATCAGTTCCTATAAATGTGCTAAACAATGATTACCATAATCCACACTTAATTACTCTAATTGATAAATTTTTCAGATGGCTAAATCTCACATTTTCTCCTTGATGTTTTTCTGCTTACTCCTCATTGCATCAAAGGGTGAGTAAAAAAAAAATTCAATAATTTATTTGTATTATTATAGAGGAGATAGATCAATATGAAAGCATTAAGATTCTAATTGAGGATGTTAAGCATAATTATCAATCTACTGAAGTTTGTGACCGTCTCATATAAAACCTTAAAATGTTAGGGAGAACACATTTTTTTACTTAATTATATCTTCAACACGCCCACGCCCCACATGTGCGAAGGTAGAGTATTACTTAGGATTCGAATGAATTGATCAGTAACTTTTGCTTAGATTCTGTATTTATCTTAAAATTATTTAATTCTGAATCCAGTAACTAAGACGAGCTACATGTTCTATATCAATTCAAAATCGATAAACTACAAATCCCTAATTTCTGCTATATCGATAATATGAACAACCTCACACAAGTCACGAATATGTGAAATCTTGATTATTATTTTTTGTGCAGAGATAACAAGTGTGGAAGGTCAAGAGTGCAAAAGGTATAGTGGTACATTTGGAGGGGCTTGTTTTATGATTAGATTTGGTGAGTGTCAAGACAAGTGCACCAAATTAGAAGGAGCTTTGCGTGGAGAATGTGAGAGCTATAAGTGTTATTGCATCTTTTGTTGATGAAAAAGCGAACAATTCGATGTATAAAATATCTCGTGTTAGTAGACTCCGAGAAAAAACTTTTGTTGATGAATAATGTAATTATATATTTACTTGTTTGGCTTTAAAAAAATAAAGACTACCATAGTACCACTTTGTATTGTGTTTGAACAAAAACAAGTTGTGAAATGACCGTATAGTAAAAATAAGTTTATGTGCTACTTATTTTCTATATTTCTTAATAATCACACATCATAGTATATTTTTTTTACTAATTATTTCATATTCGAAATTTTTTGATATGATTAATCTTGATTTATAGAGATGAATTTAGGTTTGGACGTTTATGAATCCCTCAAGTTAATATATAATAACTTGGTTCACAGTCAAATATTTAATAAATTTCTTATAATATTCGCACAAAACCCACCCTTTGGGGTGGCCCAGTGGTTTGGGCTAGGGACTTCCATGTTGGAGGTCTCAAGTTCGAAACCCTTTGCCAACGAAAGCAAGGAGTTTGCCTTCTGGGTCGAGCTCGTCGCACCGGGCTTTCTTAGTGCGAGTTACCTCTCCTATGTGGTTTGTTAGGATATACTATTAACCATGCGTTTTGATATAGTATTATTATTGAACAATTGTTTATTCATTTATTCAATTCAATAAAGTGTTACATTAAATAGATCAATTGTCATATATGTGTCCTTAACTTATATAGTAGATGATTTGGTGTATAGAGTTTAAGCTTATACACAGAAGATTAAATCATCGGTTCTTATAAGTTAAAAGTTATAGTTCACAATCGTAGATGGAAATTTTGGACAAAACCATCAGAAAGATTGTAGCACGAGATTAAATGTAATTTATCTTGATTATGAGAATGGTATAGTTCTAACTTCTCGTGCTAGTGCATTTTGTATGTATTGAACGGGACCAAGCAGAGATAGATGTTTTAGACTGACTGATAAAAGCATATTCTCTAAACTGTTAAATGTACTTATATTCTTAATCTTGATATAACGATTATGATCCGTATATATTAATTATTGTTTTGATTTATTAAAAGGTGAGATTCTGAGATGGGTCAATATGTCTGGTAGATTGGATGATAATAATATATATTGGTGAAATAATTAGTTAGTTGATGGAATCCATGTCTCAGTATAGAGATTGATGATACACCTTTTATGAGAAACTTATAAGTTTTCATGTGTAAACCCGGCCGGTAGATTTATGAATCTGGCACATGAAATAAGTTAAGTGTTGCTCTAAAGGAAATTAATCATTGAATTAAATTCGTCAGTAATTTAATTTATTGATTAGTATATGGAATCTTAACATGGGGAATTACATAAGTGTTTAATGGTGAATTTCGAAATATATATAGAGGAGTGCAATTACGAATTTTTAGTGGAATGATTTGTAATTTATTATGGTAAGAATAATTCAAATTAATTATTTGGAATTATTTCCATAATAGGAAGCCTCAGTAATAAATTATGTGGTCCCTCCAGTGTCCAATTTAACTAGAACTCAGAATCCTATTTTCTAGGAGAAGAAGGAAAAGTAACGTGTATATTTCATCCAAGAAAGAAACGTGAGTTTCAGGGGTTTTCTTGAAGAATAAGGATTTATACTTTCTTCTCCTTTTTGGACTAGGAAGACATCTCTATAAGTAGGGATTCTTCTAACCTAGAAAAAAAAGATTCAGTATTCTATACGATACTTGCCCACCCAAGTATTGAGAGAGTTCAATTGTTATTTGGGATCATTGTAGAAGACTATAGAGCTGGAGTTGGATTTGCTTCAAGATATCTGCACACGCTTCAAGAGGTAATCCTGAGTTAATTTTCAGCATACCTTGTATGTGATACGTATTTGTGATTATTGTCTATACTCATGCAAGATGTATGATTCTGGAATGCTTCCGCTGTGAATGTTATTTTCTAACAGTGGTTTGCGAGCTATTGCATAGGAGCAGAAGTTTTACCATGTGTGCACCCAAAGGGTAGCGGCTGCGGGTTTCCCTTCACCCATTGAATTTGATGAACTCCCATACTCTACTCTACCACTAGTCCCATATATAGGGAAACTCTCCTTAACAAGAATTTCTCACGCATTAAAGATTGAACTGAAATCCCGAGTTAATATATATATATTGTGCCTAAAATCATCGATCAACGATAGAATGACTAAAGACTAAAGTTGAGATAATGTTGGGAGTTGCCAAAAGATTTATAAGAAAAAATTGAACCATTTCACGATTTGTGCATGTCAAGAGCAGAGACCTTGTTAATCTTCTCTATATCGTTCCAATAAACTGGATGTCCCCAGAAGTGCAAGACCATCAACGCCCAAGCTAGGATCAAAAGTTCAAGTCCGCCCATTTCCAAGATCATTGAATGTAATTTCCTGAACCATATCTTATATAACAGCAAACATACTTGATAAGTTGGCCCAGAAATAGCTAATGGCCATAACTTATAAACATTGCACAAATAATTGAAAACAAAGCTACTTAGGGATTATTAAGAATCTGCTTGAAAAATTCAGTACTCAAACATAATAATATTTGATACAACATGATTCAGATAGAGGACTCTCTCCTTCGTTTCGCCTGTTAACGATACTAGGCAATGACTACGAATGGTACCACATAAAATGGAAGGTCCTATAAAGATCAATGGCAAGAAGAAGTTGAATGTCAAGCTAAATATCTTACGGGTCAAAGACTGTCTAAGATGCACAAGATTTCCAAATGTCTGCAATATAATCTGCACAAGATACATAGATGAAGTTTGTCTTCATAAATATCTAGTCGAAAAGCCCCTCATCGTGCCAGATATCTACTAGAAAGTCAACCATTTCCTGTGAAAATACAGAAATTAATACTAGCACTAGCCAAATGATCATCATTCTTATGAAACAGCAATGGAGCAGACTTCTGATAAAATAATACTATAAATTTCAGGATTGCTTACTGTTAAAGGAATTCGCTCAGAGAAAGGGTCAGTTGTAGAGAGCAACTCTTCATAGGTCGTTGTCCAACTGCATGAGAAATTCGTAGACATTTCAGTCTAGTGGTAAGAAATAAGAACAGTAATGGAAGGTTTTGAGCCGAGTCAAAGGCAGAACATGTTTACTTAATTCATTTGCATACAATAAACCCAAACTGGTTCGGCCTTCCCTGGATCCCGCGCATAGCGGGACCTAAGTGCACAACACTTCCCTTTTTTTATGACTGAGATAGGCCAATCCTTAAGCCCAACCACAGCATTCAGAACTCGGGGAATAATGGGTCCGCCCCTCTAGCTTTTATTGCCACAATATGCCTATATCATGTACTTGGAACATAATTAAGCAAGTCTAAAAAGCTTAGTAAAACTTTTCAAGATTGACACGGTATTTACCCTCATCCAGTCTCAATCACTCTCTATCTAAACCTTGACGTTAAAGGCTCTTGAACTATAAACTCAAGTTTCCTGTCCTTGGATCATCCCTTTATCATTAGTTACTTTATCTCTTAGAAGACACTTCAGAATACTTTTGGATCACTGGCCATGATAAACTAGTTCACGCTACAAAGATTACTTCTTGTTAATCGGGCACATATTTTGCACTAACATACCACACTTGAGATATATGTCATGCCTGGTATGTGGTGCAATAGGAATATATGCATTTCAAGATGGACATGCACAGTGGGAAAAGTGCAAAAGCTCACCACTTGTTCACTCTAGAATAAATAGAGCATGTTCTTGAGATAGAGAAATGTGTGCATTGCAATATCAATATCATGCCCTGCACACGAACTTACTTCCTCTAGATAAACATAGGAAAGCAGTTGAGATTGATAATGTCTACTGCATTAAATCATATGGATGTGGCAATAACAGGAGCTATGCAACATCAAGTACATTAAATCACTATCTCCCTAGTTTGTTGACGTTTGCTGATGCATTACAGCCCATATTAGACTAAAATAAGGATCAAATTTGATAAATGGTAAAAAGCTCAATGCCACTTGGAACATATGAAGTTGAAACCTATAGTTTCTTACCATATATTTTCCTTACTCTTTTGTCGGACAGCCATTTATATGTTCATTACTGTTCTCTAAGTGCATAGCCACTGAACCACCTCAATATGAATTCCTAACTGTTAACTGAACACCATAGAGCAGCAACTAACTTGACATTCTTCCGGTATTTTTGGTTGTATATGACAAAGTTCAGATTCAGACAGTATAAGTTATCCTTCTATGTGCAGTAAAGATAAAAACTTCCACTCATCACCGTATCTCTGACAATCGAGGATTTCTCTGAGGCACTACCAAGAGCACTGAGAACTTCAGCTCTAATCTAAAACATGAAACATAAATGGGGACTCTTCTGAAGTTGATTTTTGTATACTGTGGGTGCAAAGTGTTACCTTATAATTTTTTTTTTTGATGAAGCAAGTAGATTCATTTCAAGGCATCAAGAAGATGCAAGCTTTACAAGGATAGATCAGTTAAGCACACAAAAAAAGGATTTGTAGCCTCTTTCTAAGGTTACCTTATAATTGGATCCTTCGGCATCCTTTCTGACTTCCTTGATACTTCTCCAACCCATTTTCTTCTGTTCTCATGCCATGCAATAGCAGCTGCACCACAAACAAAACTATACTATATAAGTAACACAAGAAGAAACACAAAGTCTAGCCTCATACAGTTTGATATAATTTTTCCTTGAAGCCGCCAATCTGAGCTTTCAGGTTGTTCATTTCTATTAAGGTACAAAGGACAATAACTGCTCTAACGAGTGGAGTTTTTGTGCTGAAGTGTATTAAAGTGCAGAATTATTTCTTTCAATGTAAAGAACAAGAAGTCGGAAGTTTACTGGTGACCTCAAGCCACTGTCAAATTGAAGATTTTGTTTAAAGAAAATAGACTCGGGAGAGCTATGTTCTGTAAAAATACATGCGGAGACGAAGAGGACACCCTGTTTCGTGGATCTCTTCCTTTCAGTGTCTGTTAATAGTTATTAGTTGCTTAATTTATGACAAATGGACAACAACAGTCTAGCTCTTGTGAACCTTTTGAGGTTTGAGGGAAGAGACATAACCGACTGACTGATTGAGAGCACTGAGAGGGGCATTAAAACAGGTTCAACACAACAAAAAAATGAATTTAGTCAAGATTATTTCCTTTAAGTCATCCTGAGCCATAGCATAAACAGACCATGTTCCCCAACAAGTGAAACATCTTAACTAAAACAAAACAGTTTTGCCTCGATCAGTTGAAGAGACTTGTTTCTAAATTCTCAAAAGGATCAGAAAACAAACCGTGATTGACAAATGCAGCAGGGCTTTTGTTAGTTTCTGGGGGCTTCTTTGTCTCTCTTGTAGATGTGTATCTTTCTACAGGCAGCTTCTCAATAAAACACGAATTTCCAGTATCTACTTCCATGGCCCTCGGAACTGAAAAATCATTCCCTTCCGGAGATGAAAAAGTAATTGCCGACCTGCTCATTTATTAAAAGGTCTCTTTGAGATCGCATCAGAAGGTACTAGAAATGAATTGCTGATAAGTCGTGCATAGAATCATATTCTGAATAAATCATATTGTAAATACAAAAAAAAAAATCTTATTGCGGAAGAGAAATATAGATTATACCAAGTAAAAGCACAAAAAGGTGTATTATGAAATGTTAAGAAACCATGTAAAAACATTATACACTTTTACATGCTATTGCATATTGAATTGCAATGGAATATCAATTGCTTCGGTTGAAAACCCAACCCGGATTTTATATTTTTATTTTGCTCGCCATTTTGTTACACAAAAGAAGGATCAATTAACACTTAAAGCCTGGCAGGATTTAAACCTGTTTGTTTCAACTTATAGGAAGTCTTTTATCTGAACCGTTCATATCCCGCCACATCAGAACATGTCTTCTTTTTTTCCCCTTTTACAACCACTTATTTGCTCTTCACTTAAAGATTTCTGTGAATGTAACCTTCCAGCTTCCACCAAACAACTACTACCACCATTCATCACCACAACTAGCAACCACCACTAGCAAACATTGCACAACTATCACCATTGCCACTACTACCACCATCGATCACCATGCATAGAAAAAACAGTCTTAGCACTGCCACAGGCAGCTAGATAATGTTTCCAGCACTAAAGACAAGTAATAGCTAGACTATGTAGATGTCAGATTCGATGTTCCATAGACGAATCATGAGTTAGAGACTATCCAGTCAGTTTGAGCTTCTAAACTAGAGACATTGACATCCTTAAATGATTTACAATTGTTACCTTCTTTGATATAGAAGGATCACATTGATATACTTTAATGATCTACAATTGTTACCTTTTTGATATAGAACGGAACTTCACAAATGCCCTAGCTCAAAAGCTCTGCTGCACTGCAAAAGGCATTCATCTAAACCAAACAAGTGAACAAACTTTTAATTCTTTACATACATAACTTAACATATAATAGAAACAATCAAATTGTCCATTATTCACTAGCTACAATATGTTGCATCCAAGTCAACTCATGTCAATCCTTTTTATAAAGCCAAATTACATCAATCTTCACAAAAATAGGTTAATCTTAGTAGCTCAGTTAATTGGCTAACTACCTGAATTTTCACTGGTGAGTGTTTGATTTCCCACCTCGTAATCCCCTCCCCCTTTACCTTTACCCTTACCCTTACCTGCCCTACCCCTACCCGTACCCCTACCCCCTTCTCCTTCTCCTTCTCCTTCTCCTTCTCCTCCTCCTCCTCCTCCTCCTCCCCCTCCCCCTCCCCCTCCCCCATTCACAAAAATTATACAGCTAAATACAATTGTACTTCCCATTTCAGCTGCCAAAAACAAAAATTTACTTCTTAGCTTGAAAAATCTAATTGAACATTTTGAATATATAAAACATAAAAAAAATCAGAAATCCTACAACAATTTCAATCAAAACACAAAAACCCAGTTAAACCCATAACTCTGTGTGTGACATAGACAGAATTTTCACTAAAAGTAAACATAAAGAAGTCAAAATCATTCTAACATCTACTATATATATACATAAAAAAAAATAAACAATTAACCATAGTAATTTTCATGGAAGGAACCACTCGATACGTAACTCCGCCCCTGTATTCCCAAACATTTAAAAGCAAATAATATCACCTGAACAATCATACATCAATGTACCACACCAAGTGCATGCAAAAATCACCAAAACATAACAAAAAAAAAAACATAAAAATAATTATTTTTAAAAAAAACTATTAAAAAGACAAGAAAAAAAAGGAAAAATAGAGAATGATAAGTACCTTTTTTTTGCTATGAAGACACCCAAGAGAAAAGAGAGGAAAAGAAAGAGAGAGGTGAAGAGTCTGAGTGGGTATTTATAGATAAACTTCTTTAAAGGGTACCCACAAGAGAATTAAAATATCAATTTATTGACTTTTTGCATAATTTTGTTTACGTGAATCTAGTAACTTTTATTTAGATTTCGTATAAATATTAAAAATCTACTAGTAATATTTATAAATATCTATCTGTAAACTCAATTAATATAATAGTATTTTATCCATTTTAGTTTGTTTGATTAGCTTTCCTTTTTAATTCATTTCAAAATTATATATATTTTAATTATTTTTTGGCAACTCATTAATTCTAAATGTTATTTATTTTTCTAGAACATGTTTGAATTGACTTTTAACTTGTTTTTATGATTTTGGCTTAAAAAATAGAGCAATTTTCACATATAGCAAACATAAAAATCATATTTGTATGTTATAGTTATAATTTACATAATTGCGCTCCATAGCAAACATAAATATGTATATTTCGCTATACATATACAAAGAAAGCAATTGTATAATTCGCTATACATATACAAAGAAAGCAGTTGTATAATTCGATATGCATATACAAAAGAAAGCAATGTATAATCTGTTTTGATATACATATACAAAAAATCAATTGTATAATCCGTGTTTGTATAAAACAAGAAAGAGAGAAAAACAAAAGAAAACTGGGCAGGGGAAGATTGTATTTGTATAATCATAAGTGTATAGGATGAAACTATATGCATTTATATTTGTATATACAATTTTCTCTCGCTTTATACAAACACAAATGCAATGTATACATTTGTGTTTGTATAAAGTGAGAGTGGCGAGCGAGATCTGGAAGAGGGGAATAAAAATATATGTATATATATAATTTTCTCTCGCTTTATACAAACACAAACACATTTTATACATTTGTGTTTGTATAAAAGCGAGAGAGGCGAGCGAGACTGCTACCAAAACGAGAGTGGCGAGCGAGATTCCACCAGGGAGAGAGGCGAAAATAGCAATAGTTTGCTATAAGGTACAATTAAATCAAACTATGTTTATAGCATTTAATTTGAATTAATAGTTTGCTATTATATACAATTTTTCCCTAAAAAATACTTCCTTCGTTCCTATTTACTTGTCAAATTTTGACTTGGTACACCTATTAAGAAAATAATTTTGTATAGTGAATTTACCATTTTACCCCTATTAGTTGATACAATATTAAACATATTTACTCACTATATTTTTCAAAGGCATTAACTCAATATTAATAAATCGAGTGTATAATAGGAAGAAAAAAAATGTCCTTCCTTGATTTGTCAAAAATGACAAGTAAAAATAAAAATCAAATTAAAAAATATTTCAGAAGCAAACAAGGACGGAGGGATTAAGTGTTTATATATATATATATATTTGGTGTTATTCAAATAGATACAAATTACTTAAAATTATCTGAAATAAATTAATTCAAACATGACTCTTAATCAAAAGTATTGGGTGAATGAAGTTGTTTTTAAACTTTAATATCTGAAACGAAATTTTTCAGTATGAATTTGAAATAATTGAACTCTAAAATGAGTATCGGATACCGAATGTTGTGGTGTTTGGTAGCATCATGTTTTTCTCAGCTGTAACAGTTTGGTTTTCTCAGATTTATTCTATCATTTTCTATCTGACGTGGTTTTTTTTGTCTTTGTAAGAGGATAAAGCGATGTGTTGTGTGAATTGACTAAAAACACCCTGCACCAACTATATTGACAAGGGTGTTTTTGTCTTTTCCTTTTTGTTGTGATTTGGACTTTTTTGGAATTAAAAGTAAAATAGAATCTAATTGAATCTATGGTGGGGGCATGGAAAAATATTTTTTGGTTTTTAATTGATACGAGTCATTTCTTTTTTGTTTTTGTTTTTGTTACAAAAAGTGTAGACAAATAATATTAAAAAGATGAAATATTTAATAAAAATTTTTAATATAGTATTCAGATCAATTTATGTGAATTTTAACTAATTTTATAAAATATTTGATATATTCCATCAACATAAATAAGAAAAAAACAATATAGCTTGAAATTTGAAAATGCGTAAATTTTTTAATTGAGATAAATTTAAATAAGTGAATATGAATAGTATTAATATAAGTTACCTATTCTAGCTTGAGATTGAGGCATAGTTTTCTTTTTAATCCATTTCGTTTGTAAATTTAACTAAACAAATTTAGTGCAAAATACGTGTCGCTTTTAGAAAATCAAGAAAATATTAATCTTTGCTACATTTTTTTAGGTATATCTGATTTCTTTATTTTATAATTATTTATTTTCCCTAATTCTATATATATTATTTTATTTTACATTAACGTAAATGATTGATTGCGTGCAACACGAGGTATGTTGTTTTTTTTCTAAAATAAAATAGAGTTTCTTTTTCAAACAATTTTTTAAAGGAATTTATCATTGACAAATCATGCTGCATATGATAACCTGTCACCATCAGTAAAAGATAATAATATAAAATTTATATAAAGTGGATATGATGACAAAAAATACAAAATTATTTAATAAAAAATGGCGAAAAAATATTAAATTTTCTTACCAAAAATATAAAATGGATAACTTTGAAATATAGAGGTGTCTCCACTTTATTACATAGTTTGGCAAAAGTTGTCAATTAGCTTTACTTAGTTAGTCAATTAATTAATAATAAAAAGAGTTTCAACAAACAATAGTTAATGGTTGGTTGTTGAAAGTTGATACTATATATAGTAGTAAATTTATTGTGTGGCATTTTATGAGAAATAATCTCTATTTTTTTTTCTTTTCTATTTGATATTAAAGCATTTTCATTAAAACTCGATTAATTTAGATTCAAAGCCAAAAATGGATTAGTTAATTGACCAACTCTAGTTATCTTTTCTAGTAGTTAGTTAATTGACCAACTCTTCTTCTAGTAGCTTATTTCTTTTTGGTACATTTTCTAGAACCTCGTGGAATCACACATCAATAAACAATCCTAATCTTTTCTAAAGTCAAAAGTGCATATTTTAAAATATATTTTAAAAAATATATGTATTTGGCCAAATTTTAGAAGAATGAAAAAGTTATTTTTTCCGGTAAAAGCAGAAGTTGTTTCCTTGATAAAGAGGAATTTTCAAATAGAGCCCTATGCAACACAATTTTGAAATAATCAAACTCTAATAGATACCATATCAGACTCGGGTGAAAAGATAAAAAGTTATGAGTTAAGTTTTCACAAATAACCACTAAAATAATTTTAATTGGGCTCCATAACTATAGTTAGTTAATTACGATTTATAGTTACATGTTAGAGGGCGGAGGAAGGAGAGAGGTGAGTGATATTGTGAGATTAAGGAGAGAGGCGAGCGAGGGCGAGAGCGAGTTGTGGATGTATATCTGTCGAGTTGTATATGTATATCTGCCAGATAATTGTATATATGTAACTAATATACATATATATTTGTATATCTGACGAGCAAAATTGAAAGAGGGAGGAGAGAGACAAGCGAGAGAATGGAGAGCGATTTCATTTGTATATATATCATATAATTATATATGTATAATTTATATTTATATACTTTGTATTTGTATTGTATAAGCGAGGAGAAAGGGGACAAGGGAGAGAGGAGAGAGGAGAAAGGGGACAAGGGAGAGAGGAGAGAGGAGAGAGGAGAGAGGCGCACGTAAATGCAACTGCGAGCCGTAAATTGTAATTAATTCAAACTATAACTATATTAACTAATTAACTAATATATGATTACTTATACGTATAATTTTACCTTTCTTTTTCAATATATTTCAGCCCATAGTTCTCATCTATGATGGCCCAACTAGTTCAGGAGTACATCCTCTCAAAATTGCTAATGGGCCTTAGCCCATCTATTGAGAACCTAAAAGGCTAAAACTAATCTGCAATTTGGAATCATAATTAAAAAAAATTAGTGTTTTCGATAAATCCTCTAACCTTCACCAAAATACCTACTAAAATAGGTCAAGAAGTAACATGAGCAATAAATCAAACAGATTACAAAGACATTTTCACAACATTAAACAATAAAAAACACAAAATAGCATCCATAGTTGTATTGGGCCAAGCTAACTTTCAAGTCTTAGAGAAAAAAAGGGCTTCATAATACATGTACCTAAAGTTTTAAGAACTTTAATACAAATTTATTTTAACTTGAAAGAGTTTAGGAGTAGAGAGACTATAGACTAAGCTAGCTTAATTTATCTTCTTAGGAGGTTTGGGTCATAACAGCAGAAACCATTGTGTTCATTCCACACATCCCATGTCCTCTACAAAGCTTGTAGTACCCGTTTTCGCCCCATCGCTTCCCCCACGAGTTCTTTATTACCCAGTATGGCTGGTTGCTCAAACGCAGAATCGAGAACCCCTTTGAGCCATAACCGACTAGCAATACGCCATGGTTAACCCACCTCTTTCCGCATATTAACGGGCAGGAGACACCTCCTATGTACGTTTGCATAAACACCGCATTCAACCCGACTACACACAACAAAGTTTCAAGCACCTTTTAGACTAAAGGAGATCTTCATGCACATATCATATTGAGAGATGGTTTGGTGGTTACCTGCGAGAGGTCCGTGATTGACTAAATAAGCAGCGATTTGTTGTTCGTCGATGGGAATATTGGTGAAATTGGAGACTTTTACCGCGACTTTGTCTGGGCAAAACTTGCATTCGCCACGTTTACCGGTATATGGATATGAATCTTCCTCTTCTATTCCTCCTGCTTCGATTAAGTACTTGTATGCATTTGTCATTAGGCCTCCCCTGCACCCGGAATCACAAGCCTTTTTGTCCTTTTTATCACACTTCAGAAGGGAAAAAAAGAGAGGCGATCAGTCATGCATATATCAAGTACTAAACAAAGGCACAAAGCAGCACGTTTGTTATACAAAAAACCCGAGAAGAGCTAACCGTGTTATCACAATCTACAAGCTGTTGCTCACTAAGATTTAGAAGCTTGCCAGTGGCAATGAAGTTGGCTCCTTCAATGGATCCAGTCGTACTAAACGCCCAGCATGAGCCGCAAGACCCCTGCATTGATCATCCAAATGGTATGAAGTATGAGCGTTGGTATGAAGTATGAACGTTTATGTATCATTAAAAGCCACAGTGATGTTTGTTAATCAATACTACCGCCGAACAAATGTGTTCTGTTAACTACCAAAACAGAATTGTTCAAAGTATAAGCTTCAAGTCATTTGTTCAATACTGAAATAGTACAAATATTGCCTATCTAAACTACATTCCTTATAATCATTTAGTAGTAGTGCGAGTACTGTCGAATAGGCTGTCAATTTATTGGAGTTGCTTAATGAAGTGTATCCTTAATTTTCCGAGTTTAGTGGTAATATTTTCATATAGTAGTTCATTGTAGTAATTGTTTTGATTTTTTATACCACATGCAATCAGGTCATCTATAGAGTAATACAGATAGATATTAATAACGTATGGATATATTATAAGAAATCTACTTATTTTGGGTGTGCACAGGGTAAAAGCTCCTAGCTATGCAATAGCTCGCAAACCACATAGGAGAGGTAACACGCACTAAGCAAGCCCGGCACGACGAGCTCAACCCAGAAGACAAACCCCTTGCTTTCACTGGCAAAGAGTTCGAACTTGAGACCTCCAACATGAAAGTTTCAAGCCCAAACCACCAGGTCACCCCGAAGGATATCCATTGTTTACTTTATGAAATGAATAAATAAATTTTTACATTAGCTCCTAATTTACCTTATCATTAATTATAATTATTTTCTATTATATTTTTCAAGACATTGTATTTATTATATTAACTCTTCCATTTATAGTTTCTTAAGAATTGTGCAAAGTCGATAGTAGACAAATATTGTTGAACAGAGGGAGTATTAGTTATTCAAAATTTAATACATGCATAACTTACCTCCAAACCCGCTATCAAATGATCCCAGTTAGGAAACGTGGTATTAGTTATGCAGGATTTAATACAGGCATAACCCTGCATAACTTACCTCCAAACCCGCTATCAAATGTCGCCTAAACTAATAGCCCGATAAAAATGAAACTGAACTACTATCACATTAGTAGAAGCCCGAACTCGGTAACTTTTGCTCACACAACTTATTTTTGTTCGACAACACCAACATACCCGTGAATGTAATCTCACAAGTGAGAGTCGGAAGGGTAGTGTGTACTCGGTCTTACCTGGAACTAGCTCGGAGTTTCAACTGTGAAATCCCGAGCTAGTTCTCAAGTTAACCAAATTTAATAGCGAACAAGTCATGCTGCTGAAAATAATGAACAAGAGAACAACAACAAATAATACGATAACGGAATACTGTACAATTCTCACCTGCATCTTCACGTCAGTAACCGCACCTTTCTCTCTCCAATCAAAACTCTTCGGCAAATCCTTCACTTCCATCGGCGGCGCGTGAGACCCAACCTCTCCCAACAAGGAGCTCCGATCACCACCTTTAACACCCATATACATCCTCTCAAATTCCTCCGACGTCAGATCGGAAAACTGCGTAACTCCGTGAACAGCCGTAGGATCCAAAGCCTGGTGCTCCGCCGCCTTCAGGAGATTTTTAACGAAAACTCCGAGGCGGTGTATGTACTCCTCGCGAGTACTGTACTCTTTATTGTATTCCTGTATGAATGACTTGAATCGGTGCTCGGCGGGAGTACCGAGGAGGTGGTGGTTGCTTCCGCCGTGCGCGGTGGTTGTTGGACTTTGATCGTCAGTGACTTGCCGGATTTTGAATTCTTCTGGAATTGCTGCTGCAACTAATGTATGGTGAAAGGGAAGTAGAGAAAATGCGCATGTTAGAATTGTAACGGCTAAAGCGTAGGTTAGACCACCTCCTTTTGCCATTTTTTTTTTGTGCTTTTGCTAATGGTTGAAGTTTTTGCTTTGGAGCTTTAGTGAAGAAGAGATAGGCAAATGGTTTCATGTGACAAGGTGGTAGAATTACCATTTTGGTCATTTGACAATATTAAAAATAATTTGAACAATAAATAAAGTTAGATTTAATAAAAATAATAATTTGATATTCACTTGAGTCGAGAGTCTATCGAAAATAATATTTCAAGTTTGAAAAATTATAGTGAATAAGTTGAAATGGAGGTAACATGAAAGAATTTGTGACCACCAACGAATATGGTGTAGGGGATGAGATTGTTCTTCCTTTAATCAGATGTCTCAGATTCAAACATTAGGTATAAAAAAAAATACATGATAGAGAGTGCTTCACTTCGAATGAATACTATGTGGCACGAATCTGAAATAGTCGAGCTCTAATTTATCGAGTGAAGGAATGGGTGTGGAGGGGCAATTTGGGGAATGTAGTCTTAAATGTTGCATGCAAAATTATTCACTTTGTTATAAGACACGTAGTGGGAGTTTGAAACGGCAAGCTTCTATTCGTTCGCCACGTTCACAATTTTGTCCACTTAATAAGTTTCTATTTACAAATTGACCGTCTTATTTTGTATGATATTATTTGCTTCAACACAAAATTTAGTAGTTAACAAAGTTTTAAAAAATTATAATATAAAATAAATTATAAATATTTATGTAATCATAAATTACGAAATTTCAGTTAAATATTTTTGATTTAATTAATTGTTATTTAAAAATTAATTAAATAAAATATGTTATTTTTTTAGTTATACATCAATTTTAAGTAGAAAATATATAATGTTTTACGAGTAATTAAAGCGAATACATATAACTAAATAAATGACATATTTTATGCATAGACTAATCAAAACACAATCAACTTGCTAAAAGATTTAAATAGAAAGTGTCTCATTAAAATTAGGAGTTAAAGATGAATGAAATAAGAGCTTATAAGTTCGAATATTTAAATAGAATATTTTGAAGTATGTATTAAGCCTTTTAAAAAATTATGTAATTTAAGACATGTCATAGCATACTGCTTAAAAGTATTTTATGACTTCAAAAATATGCCGTAACATAATCTCAAATTGAACCACTAATAAACATATATTATTATTTTTTAAATGTGGCATATAAAAACGTCTTGTGTGAAAAAAAGCTCTGTTTCACTCTTGCAACAGAACAATCAAATTTGATTTTTATATAAATTATTTACGCATTGGTTTGTTAATTTTTTGATTGAATAAGATCTACATAGTTAGAAACCGTATAGAATGTAATAATGAACTAATTCGATATTAGGAACAACTGAAAAAGCTTTCGAGTGTTTTTTTTTAAATTAAAAAGTGAATGGATCGAGACACAAATCTTAGTGAAATAGACAAAAGGGTTGTTCAGGTGGTAAAACACCCTTCACTTTTAATTTTAAGATTTTTGTAAGTTCTTCCGAAGGATCAAAGCGGGACGAGACGGAAAAAGAAAGGGCTCCAAAAGAAAAAAATTGGGCTGAAGTAAAAGGATAAGTGGCCCAAAAATGGATTGGAAAAGCTGGAGGCCCATTTATCAAGGATATAGAACCCACCTATGAACCCATTTGGATTTCAAAATCAAATTGAAGGCAACCCGATTTTATTAAAACATTTTTTTAGGAATTTTCGCATATAGCCACTCAAAAATAACCTAATTACGTTTCATAGCTATAGTTTGCTAATTACGATTCATATCTACATGTTATAGGGAGGAGAGTGGCGAGCGAGACTGGGAGATGGAGGAGAGAGGCGAGCTAGAGAGGGCAAAGAGTGAGAGAGAGGTGAATTGTATATGTATATCGATTAGATAATTCTATATTATACATATGTATTTGTATATTCTGGCGAGAAAGATTGGGAGAGAGAGGAGAGAGGCGAACGAGATTGGGAGAGGGAGGATAGAGGACAATAATTTGTATAATTCGCATCTTGTTTGTATAATTCGCCGGTACATTTGTATAATTTGCGTGTTTTTGTATAATTGAGTAATATAAAGTCTGGAATTATATAAATATAATAAAACTCGAAATAACGAATTGATGCAAACATAAACATATGAACTTTAAACAATTATACAAAATATTTTATACAATTACATTATATAAATTATATCATACAAATTTCGAAAACTACTCGTTTATACAAACTTTAAAAAGTTATACACAAAAAAATTGAATGTATATGATGACAAAACTGAAAAACCAAAGAATATACAAATATAAATCAAACAAAGAATTGTTAGTTGCGAATTATACAAATGTAGCGAATTATACACATACAAACGTGGCTAATATACAAACTCGAAGTCAGCCCGCGTAATTAATGGTTAATGTTAGTCGCGAGTGATAATTATAGTAAACTATAGCTATAATGAGTAATTAAGTAGTATAAATTTGCTTAACCGCGTATTTTTTCTTTTTTTCATGGATATTTATGCGGGGCAATCACTTCTTACAATATTATTTATGCTCTAGTCATTGGACTAATTTCGAAGCAAAATCCTGTAGTAATATCTATACAAAGATGCAAGTTTTGACGATCTGTTAAGTTTTGTGAAAAACTATATCAAAATTACTAAACAGTTTATGTAATACAATTTTAAGGATTTGTTACTTTTGATAATATGAGTCTTGTTTATCCATTATAACTTATAGTGATTTGTTAAGACAAGTTCATAATTTATTTCAAAGTTACGACACAATTCTTATTAAAGTCATAACAATCACACAACAAATATGGCAAGACTAGCATGCACATTTATTATAACTTGTGGCAAACTTCGAGTTCGACTAATAAAATAATTTGCAAAACATATTTTAACAATGTCAAAATTTAAGTAGTGTCACAAAATCAATTTATTTATGCCAATCACGCAAATAATTCATTACCCTATATGAATACATGAAGTAATTTGTGCTCAACATAAAATTAAATAGATAACAGACCCAAGTCATATCCACTAAGGGGTTAGGGTGGTTTGATAGCTGATGGGAGAAATATTATATATGTATTACATTCTGTATGAATAACATCATGTTTGATAGTTGATTAAGACTATGCATGTATAAAATCAATACGATATTTGATTTGCAATTTAGAAAAGTGTATAACTAATACATGTGAAAGAATCTATGTACAATTTTATGCAGAATATAAGATGAAATAACGAATACAAATAAGTAATACATGAATAACTAATTCGTTCATAAACTAATATATCTATGGGGACCTTTTACACAACCACTCAAAAATAGCTTAATTACGCTTCATAGCTATAGTTTGCTAATTACGATTCATAGTTACATGTTATAGGGAGGAGAGTGACGAGCAAGATTCGGAGAGGGAGGAAAGAGGCGAGCGAGAGAGGGCAAAGACTGGAGAGAGGTGAATTGTATATGTATATCAATCAAATAATTCTATTTATGTAACTGGTATACATAATATGTATTTGTATATCTGTTGAGCAAGATTGGGAGAGGAAAGAGATAGGCTAGCGAGATTGGGAGAGGCGGGCATAGAGTGGAGAGAGGTGAATTGTATCTGTATATCTGTCAGATAATTGTATATATGTAATTGATCTACATATGTTTTGTATATCTGGCCAGAGAGATTGGCAAAGTGAAGAGAGATGCGAGTGAGATTCGGAGAGAGAAGAGAGAGACTGTCACGCCCCGAGCCTACACCCTGGGCAGGACCAACACCCGGAGACTATTTTTGGCCCCAAGCGAACCCTTGGCCTGACTTTCTTAACTCAGCGAAACCTAACTCAACAGAATAATTCAATGCAAATGCCAAGTTACACAACAACTTAACTTATAAAAATCTGGCCATAAGGGCAACTCGAATCTCAAAATAGGATATTTACATATATACATAGATGAGAGACTCAAAAACTAACTGACTGACTGTTTATGAAGCCTCTAAAATACTGAGATGGATGTTGGGACAGACCCCGCAACACCCTAATAAAACAAAACTAAGAATACAAAATAATTGAGTCCTCCGGAATGCAAGAAGGCTCACCACTGACTCTGGAGTGCTCAGCTGGATCAACGACGTGCAGGATGCTGATTCGGGGTACCTGTATCTGTATCGTCATAAGATGCAGGCCAACTGGCATCAGTACATTGAATGTACGAGTATGCGAGCTGGAAAACTAAGCAACATAGTCTAGAAGGAAATCTGGAAGAAACTGAATAACTTACCTGGCTTAACTCAACTCAACCTGACTGACTTCTTTCAATATAAGGCAATTTTAAAACAAGTGCGATATAAAGAAAGACTGTTTAAAACATGTTATAAACTCTGTGTGTATACAAAGATATAATAAGCCTGAGATGTATATAGAAATACAAATTAACTGATGTATATAAAAATATAATACTTTATGTGTATGAAAATACAATAACTGCTGTGGGAGTTTCTCTAACCGACAACCATCACATAAGAGCTATAATGATGATACAGTGATCGACCTCACGCTGCCAGAGCATTCTATACCCGGCCAAAGGTACAAGACCTGAACTGCCTAATGGATCCATTAGTCTATCTGGAAAATGATTCATCTAAAAAGTATGATCATTTTCTACCCATGGTGGCTAACATGGTTCTCTGGGGGCTGTGGGTTCTTTGAACGCTCCCCCAATTCGGTGCTCGATACTACTCCCAAAAATGTACTGGCTCTTATGTTTTTAAAACATATGTCTTCTTGCTGATTTGAGATAATTACTCAAAAACTAGCCCGAAGGCTCTTTGGAAATCTCAGTTTCCAACCTTGTTTAAATGTAAAAACATTTCTTTAAAACTTTTTTGGGAATACATAGTTCCCTAATAACTTTGAGAAATGAACTCAACTTTATGTTCTTGATTTAACTTGAAACTCTATACTCTTTGCTTGCCTTGCAACTTGAGCCTTAGAATAAAGTTAAAACGTTCAATAAAGACTCTT